CGTGTGTGTGTGTGTTGGAACTAAATTTATGGTGTAATCTGAATGAGTAGACTAAAATTGATTTGGAACCCATTGGATTAAATCCCTCTGTTCTTTACTTGTATGCAATAATCTAGTTATCGGTTTGCGTTTTTCAATCCAATACGAATCAAATGCCGAGCCTGACAGTAATCTCTCAAATTCTACCACACCCCACCACACACACACACACACACACTATATGTATATATTGTAGTAAGACGTCGAGGTCACAAGATTTCTAAACCTAGTTAATTTTATGAACTTAAGTGCAGATATGAGTTATGATCAAGAAATTGTTTAAAGTATGACCCCCTTCTAAAGAAATTAGAGAAACGTAAAAATATGATGTAGAGTGATTAAGTTAGAGTCAGTAACGAGTATCAGATTGGTTGAACATTTACTTCGGCTCGTATTTTCACTTGCTTTAGAAGCTTCTATTTTGGCCTATATGCAATCAAATAATATGGACTCGAAAGTTAAGTGGTATGAGCGTAGTTATTTGATTATGCAGGGTAAGGCTAAAGATATTGAGCTAAAAGGGCACACCGATAGTGTGGATCAGTTATGCTGGGACCCGAAACATGCCGATTTGATTGCGACTGCATCCGGTGATAAGACTGTCCGCTTGTGGGATGCTCGTAGTAAGTTATTAATTATTATCTTAGATCGTTTGTCTTACGAAAATATGACACTTTAATGATGATGCGTGTACGTTTAAGGGCAGATCTTTTTTCTGGTGAAAACTTTTAGTTCGGATTATAAGTGCCTAATTTATTTTCCAATATTAGTATTTGAAGAATAATGATTTAAAGAAATTTCTCCGGCATTAATGAAGAAATATATTGGTGTTAAAAGGATTCATATATTGTGGTTTCCTCATCACTTGTGCAGGCGGGAAATGCTCGCAGCAAGCCGAACTCAGTGGGGAAAATATTAATATCACTTATAAACCCGATGGGACTCACATTGCCGTTGGAAATAGGGTAATTATTTTTTCTTTTGGTGTTGCTTGCATTTCCTCTTACACGTACAATTCTTGTCCAATTTTTTGCAATGCATAATGTCATTACTTTGTCAGCATGTGATTGTCTCACTTGCTTTTCTGTTTGATGTCAGGATGACGAGTTAACTATATTGGATGTACGGAAATTTAAGCCCATACATAAACGCAAGTTCAACTATGAGGTAACTTTTGTGCTGGTTTTTTTATGCTTGGTAAATTACTGAACTAGGCTTCAATTCTTCGATTGGACAAGTCGTGTATCTTTTGTACATACATTAAGTCTGTACAAAGGTTCCTTTTGTTGATAATTTTACTCGGTCAAGATTACTTTCATCTGCCATCCCTCGACACTGGTTTCCTAATTCATAGCAGCAATTATTAATCTACATATTTTAGATTATCTTCCGATTTAAAATCCGATTGATGCATAAAAATTGAAACTTTCAAAATAATGGGATAGAACTCTTTTATTATATCCTTATTGCGTATTCGCACTGCGTTACACATCTTTCAATTTTAAACACTTCATCGATTTACTTTTGTCTTATTCATCTACAATTGTTTCTTATCAGGTGAATGAGATTGCGTGGAACACAACCGGTGATAAGTTCTTTTTAACTACTGGGAATGGTAAGAACTAATCGTGCGAACGATGTCCGTTTTGTATTGGCTTTTTTTTGTTATTCTTTTTATTTATTTATTTATTTATTTATAATTTTTACGTCTAAAAATCTAAATTGGTCTTAGGTACTGTGGAAGTGCTTGCATATCCGTCACTCCGAGCAGTTAACACCCTCATGGCTCATACAGCAGGTTGCTACTGCATTGCAATCGATCCAGTTGGAAGGTGTTATATGAACTTTCAAATGATTTTAGTTAATTAGTTATATATCTTTTAATTGATTAAAATTAGCATTCGAAACTGATAACGGTGATGTTTTTGTTCGAAACTTTTTTTTGCTTGCATAGATATTTTGCTGTGGGAAGTGCCGATTCTTTAGTCAGCCTTTGGGACGTAAACGAGATGCTCTGTGTTCGTACCTTCACAAAACTCGAGTAAGTTTCATCTGTTTTTGTTTTGATTTTTTTTTTCTCATTTTAATTTAATATTGATATCAGTTATCGTGGAAAATTTAGACCTTATATTTTAATTTTGCCAGGTGGCCTGTTCGGACAATAAGTTTCAACCACACTGGCGAATATATTGCTTCTGCTAGTGAGGATTTGTTCATAGATATAGTGAGTATCCCCTCAAATTGAAATTTTCCGTAATCAACTAGTTTTCTGTTTGTTCTGCATTTGATGACACGATTTTACTCGGCAAAAGTAGACATCATAATAATATTTTCTTATTCTTTTTTCTACAGGCCAATGTTCAAACAGGTCGATCGGTCCATCAAATTCCGTGTCGAGCTGCGATGAACAGTGTAGAATGGAATCCCAAACACAACTTACTCGCCTATGCTGGAGACGATAAGAACAAATATCAGACCGATGAAGGTAATAGAGGAATATTTTATTTTATTTACATTTTAGATGTGAATTAAATTGCGATGTTTGAAAATTTTGGTACTGCAGGTGTGTTCCGGATATTTGGTTTCGAGAGTGCGTAGTTAGTCCATGCACCAAGCTACAAAATCGAACTCGAGCTTCTGCATGTAAGAGCCACATGGCGAAAGACTCAATGCAATCTTCATACTAAAGCTTTTCTTACATGATTGTTGTTAATTATTTATTTATGTTAGAATATAAACTTTTAGATCTTTGAATGTAGTCCCTTTGCCTCCAGCCCTCTGTATTTTTATTATTGTAATGTAATATGAAACCCGAATAAAATTATTTTCGTTGGTGTAGTTTTATGCAAGAACGGATCTTGCTTCACTCGTGCGAAAACAATATTGTGTAAAATGAGGGCACCGAAAATCAAGAAAAATATAAGGGTAAATTACGACCACCCCTGAGGTAAGGTCAAATTACGAAAACTTTCCTTTTGTTTGGATGATTACAATTACACCTTAACTATGTATTTTCTTACGCGTCCGCCTTTACAATGTTAAATTTACCTATAGGAGTTTTTTCGTAAAGAAAATACATAGTTGAAATGTGGTTGTAACTTGTATTTACCCAAACATGAGGGACTTTTTTGTAATTTGACTTTACCTCAGAGTCAATTTTGGTAAGGATGTTTTGTAATTATTCTTTTGTTTAATGATTTGAATTTACATCTTTTGCTAGTTGAGAAGCTTAATCATATATATATTAATATTATATATAATATAATTTAAATTTGACCAGAAAGTCAACCTTAGACTAAAGGATTCATTAGATCTTCATCGGTGGGTAAATCCCACAAAGAGCACTCAGAGTTGTATATATTATTTCCCGCTTCTTTCCCGCTTCCAGAATCTTCCCCATTATCTCCGCCGTCGACTCTCTCCTGCTCCGCCACCGCCGCCGCCGCCGCCACGCACGTGCTCCCCATGCACACGCTCTGGCTCCACGGCGACATATCTCCGTCGTCCCCGCCGCCGAGCGACGCCAGCTCGTAGTGAAACCCTGATTCAGATCCCGCCGGAAAACACCCGAAACCCCCGCCGCCGTGGTACGCGGCGGCGGAGTCTCCCCAGGGCCTGCTGTTCGTCGGCGACGGCTCTCTCGCGGCCTTCGACATCCCGAATCTGATCCTCTCGATTGTTTCGTCCTTGTGCTGCTGCTGCTGCTCCTCGTGCTTGATTCCGCCGCCGCCTCCTGCCGCCGGATTCGAACCGAACTGGTGCTGGAGCTGGATGTTGATGCGGCGCTTGGTGAGGAGGTGGAGCATTTCGTCCTTGAAGCAGCCGAGAGCCGCCTCCGCCAAATTGGGCGCCTGCGGCGGCGGGAGGGTGGCGATCTCAGATATGAGGTGGGAGAAGGGTTTGTGCGTGACCGGATCGATCCCCATCCCGGAGAGCTTCTTCTTCAGCTTCGTGTTCCAGTGGTTCTTCACGTCGTTGTCCGTACGCCCCGGCAGCTGCGCCGCTATTACCGACCACCTGCCCGACAATTAATTAATCCCTAATTTCAAAATCAATTCAATTTTTTTCCCCCAATATTTAAAAATAAATTCAGGGAGTCTATACGTTATTATATACACTTAAACCTCAATAACCATATAAATTTTATTAATTTAACGAATTATTAAACTATCAGAGTTAATATTTTAACACGTTTTCACCGAGTCGGCCGAACCAGGAAAAACTATTATTTAATTGATGTTATTAATTATCGTGGTTCTACTGTATATGTAAATGAAAGAATTACCGATTTCCAAGGACGGAATGGAGGGTAACTATAGTTTGCTCCTCCGTGTCAGAAAACTGGCCGTGCTTAAGGTCCGGCCGGAGGTAATTAGTCCACCTCAATCTACAGCTCTTCCCACACCTCTGCAGACCTGTTATTATACCTAATGAATTAATATGAGAGAAGTCTAGAGAGAGAGAGAGAGG